CAGTATGAAATTGTGAAAAAAAAAAAAAAAAAAACCAAAACAATGCGCCCTAAAGCCTAATTTTAGCTGCAAAAAATTCAGGAAAAAAACTATCAACAATGTAAAAAATACTGTTGGCGGAAAAGTACTGTGCTGCACAGCCTGTCCAATATTATGCAAAAATTATTCAGTGCCAGATTTTCTGTGACACAGCTAGAATTTTTACCAAAAAAAATAAAGTAGCCCTTTGCGCATGAAAAAAAAAAAAAAAAAAATTAGCCAATTAAACTAGAATGAAAAAGAAAGAAAAATGGGATAGAGAAATGCAATTTTCAGTGACTTCTACTGATAAAATTGAGCCTTCCCCATGCAATACTGACATGCGGTAGACAAAAACGCATTTTGTGAGAAAAATTTTTTTTTTTGATGCTTCACAGCCTAGAAGAGTTTTGGGAATTCAAGCCACAAGATATACGGAGCATGCAACTGGTCTGAAAAGAAAGCCGTACCTGCACACAACTTATTGTATCCATAATTCTTGTCATATTGCTTTCTTTTACAGCTGCATCTTTTGCAAGTCCCACGGTGGTCATCAGCCCCTGCATTCTTCCTTAAACAGATCAAAAGAAATATAGCGAATTTACCCGCAGACTCCCCACACTACAAAAACAATCTACCAAAAAGACCGGTGAAAACACAGCCCAGTAAAATACAGGCAATTTTGTTTAAGTCCGTTTCTTGATTTTCAATCACTTCCGACAGTTCAAATAAAAGCACCTGGACAATCAGGGATTTCACGATATCCAACGCCATTGATAATTTTGATCGACAATCCCAAACCGTGCAGTGGATAACCAACAGTTTCGTGTTTACGACGTTTAATAATCGTTTTTACGTTACCAACCAAAATTTCATATTGCTCTGCAAGCAACCTATACTGCAATTTTTTAAAAAAAATAAAAAAGGGAAACAACAAATCTTATTAATCTGCTCACGAAATGCAACTCAAAGAGGCAAGACAACGTGGAAGCACGCTTTTTATTAGACAACAAGCAATAAAACCGTGTGCGACACGTTTCCCAGCTTAGCTCAAAAAGTGTAAAAACAGGTATCCTGGGAGGCGAATGATATTCAAAGCAAACTGATGCAACGCATGCTGGGAAAGCGCTATGCGCAGCTCTGAGCGTATACCTTAGCAAACACTTCAATAGCAC